CTTTCTTTCTTTCTTTCTTTCTTTCTTTCTTTCTTTCTTTCTTTCTTTCTTTCTTTCTTTTTCTTTCTTCCTTTTTGTTGAGGTAGTTTCTAATCACTTCTAAGTTTGCTACCACTGGAGTACAGTGAAGTCCTGCATTTCATGGTGCCCATCTCCAGGGATGTGGCCTGTCTTTCCCCTGTGCTCTCTTCATACTGGTTCTTTTTATCTTTACTGTAACCTAATCTCTTGGTTTGTGAGTATCCACCATGGACTTTAAGCTTCTTAAGAGCAGGAACTAGACCTATTTACCTCTGATCGCCACACCTGGGTTTGGTGCTAACTAACTGTTAAAGAATGGAATGGCTTTATTATTATTAATAATTTTGATAGTGGTTTATTGCCACTAATAATTAATATTAATGAAGATTAATATAATCTTCTGACTGAACTCTGGTATTTTCCTGATTTCATGGGTTGCAAGCACAGAAAGGATTCGGAGCCTCTGACTCGGGCCGTGAGTGGATCTCTCCATGCACTTAAAAGACTCATCTTTGAAGCCCTAAGGACGGTCGTCCATGTGTGTCAGTGTGGGTCAGGAACGACACCAGGGATGTTTAAGCCTCTGTACATCACAGTAGAGGTCCTGCTAATTTGAATGCAAAATGAGGATGGATTAAAAAAAAATCAATTGCTGACATTGTTCAAAAAAAATTTTTAGAACCCCCACAATAAAACAAAACAAGAAGCTTGGCAGATAGAGCACATTTTTTAACTTCCAGGGCTGCTTTTTCAGTTCTCCCTCTGCTGGGGATCTGTCTTTCCATTTCTTGTGCTATTTGGGATGGTGCCGTCAACTCCTCACCACAGGAGCATGGACAATGGACAATGCCTTCATTCCAGGGCTTGTAGAAAGGAAAAAGGAGCCTGCCAGACACAGTGCCATGCCCATCTTACTGCTATTTCCTGCCTATAGGCAACACCTGGAGAGAAGGTCGTGATGTTCACTTGGCACAGGAAAGGTCTGGTGTTCCTCCCCAGTCTTGCTAAAGAGACCTCATTCATTCTAAATATTGAAGGGAACCAAGTGGAAAAGAACACCCTCGAGCCATCAGGCATGGGCAAAAACTTGTTCATGGATTGGAAACCTGGCTGAAATACTTCATGCTCTCTGAGTCTAGACAATGGTCCCGGACTGTTGACAGATGCTTTTGTGGACCCACCATCTTAATGGGGCTGTCATGGAGGCTGTGGTGTATCCTGCCCAGATGCCCTCTTCAGGAGCAAGGCACTCATTCCAACTGCTACCTACTGGCTGCTCACGGGTGAGTCCCTCCCCAGGAATACTGCCCCCCTCCCCACCAAGGAGCTGCCTTACCCAGGGTTGCAAATGCTCCCAGTGTCTCCTGGTTGCTTATGTGGGGTGCAAAGATCTGGCCCCCTGGCCTCTGGGCCCCAGGGCTCCTTGGGGGGGGGGCAGCAAATCTCCCACCGCAGTTGTATCACACTCGCTCTCTCCCTTACCCAATGCTGCTTCGAAGTGTGGTTTCCAAGCTACTCCCTAAAATCTTCCAACATGCCAACCTCTGACTCCAAGTCTGGTTGGGACTGGCAGCCCAATCTAAGGCAGGGACTCCCCATGGTCTACTTTACCGAGAGTTAAGTAGGCCTTCTGCAGATTTCCTGACGTTTCTTCTTCAATGGCCTCTTCGATGTCTTTGTTGATGAGCTGGAGAGAAAACCAAAGGCCAGCTGTTATTCCAGGCTTTGCTTTTGGCTTTGGTACTCGTGGGGTCATTTCTCTACAAGAAGCACTGAACTCTTCCAATTTGGACATGCGGCTTTAAGGAACCTATCCAGCCCTGTGCCTTACATGGCTGGGGATGGTGGCCCCCATTTGAGTAGGGGCTCTCATGGCTGATGACTTTTGACCTCTGGGGGGTCAGATTTGACCCCAGTGAGGACCACTCCCTTGGCCTGTATGCTCATCTATGAAATTGGGAGTGGGAAAACAATGAATCTATACTTTACATCTTGGTAATAGTTAAGTTTCCAGGGTCGTTCTTAAAATTCTTAAAATTCTTTTCGCTTCCCATTTCCTAGGAGGCTGTCTGTGGGGGCAATCCTCTTACCCGTACTGTTCTCATCTCCCGTGTCCTGAACTGGGGACTCAGCCACCCACAGTCTGGGCGAAATACGCAGTGGGGACTGTGAAGTTCATCATAAGAACTTGGTCTGATGTTTCTGATAGAATGGGGCTGCCTGGGCTGGGAGCCAGAGGGCTGACCACATCAAAATGCCACTTTCCTTCACTCGGCGGTGATTCCAAATGATCCCGTATTCACCATCGGCCCACCTATCACTCTGCACACCATTCCACGTTAGGTTTCTTTCCAAATATTTACAGAAGCTAAAGTTCAGAGTAAATGGTGACGGTGTTTCAGGCAAGGACCACCGGGGCCAAACTCAGGGTAGGCAAATAAAGAGAAAGGAGGGCTCTTGGTTGGGTCTGGGGACATGCAGTTAAGCATTAAGAATACTGAAACTTCTTTCGTAGAAATTGTTTTTTGAGGGTGTGACACAATTGTGGTTCCGTAAATAATCGGGGTCCTTGAGGACACACTGGTGGGGTGTGTGTGGTTTATTCCGAAAACACAAGTGGATAAAATATTCTTGGCAAAGAAAGCACAGTAGAGGTAGGGGAGAGGAGGAGGGTTGAGATTTAATGAGGCCCTGGTGCTTGATCTCCTTGTCAGGGTTTGACATCTAGAGGGCTGGTGTGGGTGATGGACCTCGACGGTGGGGACTGGCTTGGGGGGCTTTCAGTCCTGTCCCTTCCTTAGCTGTCCCTAGACTCTCTTCGGTTTGCTGCAGGAGCTGGTATTTCGAAAGGGACTGGTTTCACTTTCCCACGCACAGGGTTCTCGTTCTGCAGACTGAGATTGCATTTCAAGAGGACATCTTGCTCACACAGGTCTGCATTTACTAAAAAAATAATTCTCACATTAAACCGCTTTCTGTTTCCATTGTTAACGCTGGGCCAGAATAGTGCATTACATTTTCTGCAGACTCTCAGTCATACAACAGATCAAAACAGGAAAGAAGCTGTTCTGGGGAGGTGGGAGAGGGCTTCTGTACCCCAGCCCCGGGCAATATTGCCGGGTTTCTGCTTTCTTCCAGCCTTTTTGTCACACAACTCCAGGGGGGCACTGCTCACCTTGCCCCCTCTTGTCTCCCTCTCTCCTGCCCACATCCCCCTCCTGGGAGCTACCAAGGCACCCCCAGGGGCTCCAGGGAACACAAATGGAAAACAATGGACTGGCTCAGGCTATTATGAATCTCTTTTGCAAATGGCAGGCTTTTCACTGCAGTTACTGGAACACTTAATTGTTAGGGGGCTCTTTAGACAGATAAGGTTTTCCGATCTTAGTACAAAACACAGAGCCTGGGTTGGATTCCAGACAAGCCTCCGAGGCCTCTAGTTACCAGGTAGTATGCCTGTTGGGAGATTGTTAGAAGAATAGAGGAGACATTTCTTTTCAAGCCGATTCACCCAAAGAGACAGCATTCCCACAGAAGAACCCTAGGCTCTCTGGCTTTGGCCTAAGTGATTAGAGCTAGAGGCTCTGGAACAAGCTTCAGAACACAGAGAGGTGAGGGGAGAAGAGGTGACAGGCATGGTGGGGACACAATGTGCCTGGGTCTGGGTATGTGTACCTACAATTTATACTGAGCCCTGTGTAGGGAACACACTTCTGCTTTTTTTTTAAGATTTTATTTATTTATATGAGAGAGAGAGCGTGAGAGAGAGAGAGAGAGAGAGAGAGCACAAGCAGGGGGGAGGAGCAGAGGGAGAGGGGGAAGCAGAGTCCCCTCTGAGGAGGAAGCCCGATGATGTAGGATTTGATCCCAGGACTTGGGATCATGACCTGAGCCAAAGGCAGACCCTCAACCAACTGAGCCACCCAGGGGCCCATTACTTCAGCTTTCTAACTATACAGTTAGAAATATATCTAAATTGAACTATATATTTCTAACTATACAGGCCTTTTGTGGTTGGTCAACTTTGGGACTGTGATGTTCTCGTGTGGTGTCTCAGAGAGGGGGAAGGTCTGTTAAATGGCGGGGCTTTCTGAGAGTGTCAGTAGTTAAGGCTCACAGTTGGAAGACAAAGAAAGGGTAAAACCCTAAGTTTTCACGCCAAAATAAAAATTCACCTCTATGCCAGGATGACCTATGCCACATAACATACTCCCGTGATCTCATGCTAGCAGCTTACTGATTTTAGCCAGAGACCCATGGGAAGAATTATGAACCAGGATCTTAAGATCAGGGGAAACTCACGAAAATCAATGAGAAAGATCAAGATGGATGATGTTCTGGGAAAGCTTTTGGAATGATGAATAGGTAATATGTTAGAGCTAGTTTCATGTAAAGAATCATTAAATCAGTAAATTATCTTATTGTCCATTTGAACTTTATTGGGCACTGACAGTTGCTAGTGTTTATTGAGCACCTACTGCATGCCAGGTACTATGCACTTTACTACTATTAACTCATTAATTAATTACTAATCCTATGAGGTAGGCACCATTATCATCCCTGTTTTACAGTTGGGGAAACTGAGGCACAGAATCCTTAATAACTTGCCCGAGGTCATATGGCTAATAGTCTAGAGCAGACCTTTTAAATTTTAACAACGCACCAGAATCACCTGGAAGTAGGACCCAAACTCCAGAGAATCTGATTTAGTAGGTCAAAGGTGGGGGCTGAGAATTTTCTCTCTCTCTTTTTAAATAAGAGAATTCTCATTTTTAACATGTTCTCAAGTGAAACTGATGCTGCTGTTTGGGGATTAATTTTGAGAACAACTGGCTTGGAGGGTATCCTTGCAGGTGGCCTGTAGTTCAAGTACACACACACATACGCACGCTCCCATGTACGTGTGTTTCCAGAGTGATCACCAATGGCAGCCATCCCCCGGAACTCCAGCCATGGCCCCAGCCATGTGGGAAGAAGGTGTAGGTCATGGAGAAGTCTTCTAGCTCAGAGTCTATATAGTTCCAGGAGCAGAGGCCAAGGGAGTGCAGGGTCAGCTGGCTTTGATCATGACTCTGGGCACGATTTGAAAGCAGAGGGCCTCAAGGCTTATATACAGTAATGATAAAATTCCTAAGCTTTATTGTCTTTTCATCTGCTGGCAACACACAGGAAACACTATTTCGAGTGAGGAGCGGCCAGCTCCAGCCGAGGTAGAGGCTGGGGCTGGGGAATCTTGTAGTTCTCGTCCACTCTCTGCTACTGGCTTGCTGTGTGGTCCTGATAAGTTACAGATGGCGCCTTACTCGTAACAAGACTTTCCTTGTCCAACAGTTGTAGGTAACAATGGCTGCTCAGCCTACATTACGTTGCACTATTGTTGTGACACTGAAATGAGACATGGGGCACAGAAGTGCTTGGAATGGTTAAAAGCACTCTCCAAGTATAAAATGGGAGACAGAAAATCTGACATTCCACAAAAAGGCTTCTTGCAATTAAAGATTGATTTTCAGGGTAGGACTCAGCACTAAATGCCTTGAGATAACGAACTCCTCTTCTTGGCTTAAAATTATCATTAGATAAAAAAAATAATTGTTATGAAAGTCATTTATACACATCTTTTCAGGAGCCTGTCTCTGAGGTAGATGCCATCTGTTGTGGGAGTGGCAGGCACGTTGTCAGCTCAGCTGTAAATTGGAATAATAATGAGAGAGAACGTTTGTGTGCCTACCACATGCCACGTACTATTCTGAGCCTTTTACTCGTATCTTATTTAACCCCAAAAAGAATCCTGGATGATAAGGATTGTAAGTAAAGTAAGGGCGTAAGTACAGTAAGGATGATAAGGATTGTGGTCCCTGTTTTACAAATGAGTACAGGGAGGTCGGGTCACCTACCAGTGATAGGACCAGGATTTGAACCTGGATGCTGACTCTAGGGCTTTGCTCCTCAATGTGGCTCTCCTCTGCTCGCCTGGTCTCGGTTGGAAAGCGGGGTTTCCCAACCTCGGCACTGCATTTGGGCTGGATAATTCTTTGCTGTGCTGCCCTGGGGGGTGTTTAGTGGCATTGCTGGCCTCAATCTACTAGATGCTATTAGTACAGCCTCCCCACCACCCAAGTGACACCCCGGAATGTTTCCAGACGTTCTCAAATATCCCTTGAGGTGGGGGAGAAGCCAAATCACTTCTGATTAAGCATGACTGTTGTCAGAGACCCCCCCCCCCCCCCGCAGTTCCTGATCCCTGATCTTCTTACAGAGATAAGAAGTTTTAGTGTGAACCCTGTTACCCTAGGACTTGTTTACTTACGATCTGGTAGGCTTGAAAGGTGGCACGTAATTGCTTGTGGCTCCTCTTGGCCAGGACTTCGGTGAAGGCGAGCTCGTCAGTGCCCCAGCGGCCTTCCCCTGCCTTGCGGGCCAAAAGCAAACATTCTGAAAAAAGCCTTTTGCAGGAAGACTGAGTATCCTGTTCTGTGACCAGGCCTCACTGGCAGGAAATTATAAAATATACACCGAATAGAAGTCAAGTTGATCGACGAAGCACTTGAGGCTTTCACCGCGAGTAGACTTCACATATTTATGTATATTATTCATGCCCTCCCTTGTTCCAAAGTGGATCTGATGTGGTCAACTCTGGAGTGCAGGAGTAGGAACAATTCTTAGGGTTTCACGAAGACCGTGTATATGAAGAACTATTTTAAAGATCATACTTATTTCTCAAGTAACTCCTACTTTCATGACATAAAGAGACATTTGCGGAAAATAGCGCTAATAAATTTTTAAAAAGAGAAAGAATGAGCTGAGGCCTGCTGGCCGGCCCACTTACATCATACAGATCTTTGGCATCCTGACCAGCTAGATCTTTGTCCACGTCATCTCCTTCATCACGATCAGCCTAGAGAAATTGACACGTTGTTATTAACTTGAGCTCCTGCTTGACCACAGAAGACAGAAAGAGAAAGTCCTGGAAAGCTGGGGGCCATCTCAGAGGGGTGGCGTGGAGGAGGTGGGAGCCCGGCAGAGCCACAGTGTTGCTCTTTGCTGCCATCTTTAGGGCACAACTGATTAACAGAGTAACTTCTGAGATGACACTTGGGTTTTCCTTCTTGTAGGAACCAGGGTCACTCACAAACCCCAGGACCTTGAAGCAGGCTGAAAGCACCCTCATAATGTCCCCTAGAGTGACTTCATGGGAAAGTTAATAGTGTTCCTTTAAAAGTATCACTTTTCATCTCTTTGAGGTTCCTGGTACGAAGAGCCCTGAGACTTGGTCCTGGAAGGTCCTGGAAGTCTAAGCTAAGTAAGCCCTTTGTGGCAGGCAGAATTCTAGGACGACCCTGAGCAGCCCAGCCTTGCATGATCCCCTGCCCTTGCATGGGGCTATTAAGACCTGTGAATGTAAGCTGTCGCTCCCATGATTGTGTTACATTACTATACAAAGGAAGTTTTGCAGATATTATTCAAGTAATAAGTTGAGTTGATCAAAAGAGAAGCTCCCCTTAGTGGGGCTGATCTTACCTGTAGCAGGGACACCAGAATCTTTTTTAGGTTTCCACTGGTATCAGCTTTGACATCTGATTCAAGGCTCCTGTCAAATACTTTCGAAGAAGAAAAAGGGAGGGGAGAAAGCAGATGATTTCTTTCCCAGAGGTGTTTTAAAAGGAATGTTCTGTAAAATTTATTTTTTTTTAAGTTTTTATTTATTTATTTATCTGAGAGAGAGCGAGCGACTGAGTGCACAAGCAGGGGGAGCAGCAGAGGGCAGAGGGAGAAGCTGACTCCCCGCTGAGCCAGGAGCCCGATGCAGGGCTCCCATCCCAGGATTCTGGGATCATGACCAGGGCTGAAGGCAGACGCCTCACCAACTGAGCCACACAGGTGCCCCAAAAGGAACATTCTTTACCCAAAGTCAGAACAAAAAGTCACTTACACCTTTGATAGGCTTCCTTAATGGCGATGATCTCCTAGGAAGAGTAGTAAAAGAAAAATCATTACTCCAAAGTCGGATGATCAGTAGGAACCACATAGAGGGAAGGGGCCGGAGCCTGACTCTGGACTCAGGATGCCTCTAGAACTTCCTCCAGAGAGAACCACGCCCTGGCTCAGGGGCCTGGGGCTGGCCTGGGTCCCTGGAGGTGTGAAGAAGCCCCTTGTGCAAACTTTCCAAGCCACACAAGTGACACGCGCACTCTCCTTAGTTAAAAGCAAAACTACTAGCGCCAAGCTCACATCTGACCACCACCGCCTCACCCCATCCCACGTCCCCATCCCCACTCCGGTCATCAGTGCCAGGAGTTCAGTGAGTATCTGCCCAAGGATCCGTCTTCCCCTTTGTACAGGGATGGATGCGCTACTGAAAATATATAGCATTGTTCCGTGAATGCGTTAGGAAAGTGCCATACTGTATATGTTGTTCTTTGACTTATTTTTTCACTCAGTAAGATGCCTTGGAGATCCAGCTCTGTTGATGCGTAGTCACCGGGTGGTTTTTCAGGGATACAAAATGTTCCATCCCATAATAAGCCACCGTTCATCCAGCCAACCTCCCGATGGCTGGACATTTAGGTTGTTTCCAGTTTCTCTCTACCCGAACAGGCTCCGTTCAGTCCACGGTATGCTGTGTGCAGGAGGGCAGGCCTCTCTCTAGAGTGTGGAGTGGGAAGATGTGCTTTTTGTGTTTCAATGACTCGCGCTGAGTGGCCCCTTCGGGGGCTGCCTCAGTTTACATTTAAGCCAGCTGTGTCTGAGAGCAGGCGTTCCCCCCAAAGCTTCACCAGGAAGCTGTTTAAGAGAGTCAGCAGGCAGCCGGGGGTGGGGGGGAGGTGGGGGCAGGGGAAGGTGAGGAGCTTGCAGGGACATGGGGGGACACAGGGGCTGGTGGGGGCTGGCCACTTGTGGCCATGCAGCTCTTCCCGTTCTCCTTCCAACCCACTGCCGGGACAGGTCTGAACCTGAGGGCTGCTCTCTCCCGACTTTTCTTCTCTCTATTGTCACATCTCCTGGATCCGGGGGGAAAAAGAGCTTGTTTGTTGTTTGAGAGCAGGGCTTGAAGGAAACTAGATTGAGGGGGAACCACATGTGGTCAAATAAGAGAAAAATAATGACTGGAACCTTGCCAAGGCAGGCTGCCGACTGACCCCATATTGGATGCCTCCTGTCTGGGACTGCGCTGTTTCCAGAAGGTGGGGGATGTTGAGTCAGGAACGCTGTGTAACTCCTGGACCAAACTGACAGCATCCTCCTTTGCTGACCCTTCCCCATGGGCTGGTCCTGAATGGAAACTCCCTGAAATGGAGGGTTTTTATTCTCTTGTGGAAAGAAGAGAAGTCCAGGGATGCTTAGGAAGGGGGTTGAGGCTATAGCTTGGAGCATGGTTGTGCTTCAAGAAACTTGCTGGACAGCACAGGCTGAGCAGAAGGAACCAAACCAGGGTTGTCTGCACTCAAGGCTTTGAAAACAGCATTTCAGCATCAGAGCTCTGTTGAAGCTTTTCCTTGCGGTCTGCTCCAAACGCTGCTTCTGTTTCCTAGCTGGAGGCTTCACGAATGTTTGGAATTTCTGCCATTTTCCTTGCTGTACTTCCCCACCCTACATGACGCGTGGTTGTGGAAGAGGGAAGGGGTCTCCGAATAATGATTTGTGGACCCGGTCTGCTCTTGATGAGTTCCCTGGGCCTAATGGCTTCTGGGACCAACAACAAGGCTTCTACCAAAACCTTCACAAAGGCTCTTTCCAGCTCCTGAAACAGCAGCGTGTGCCCAAGGGACGGGGGCGAGGTATGCTGAGAGAAGCAGAGGGAAACCTCCAGGAAGGTGCCGGCAGCCAGGAGCGGTGTCACTGGGATCCTTGTCTGCACCACCTGCCTCCGTGCCTCTTGGCAGTCCTACTTACACTCTATGCTAGATGACAACCGCGGACAAGGCAGCTGCACAAGCGCGCGTAGACCACGCATTGTGTTATTTGTGCCAGAAGACCTGCAAACCCAGGCTGGGAAGAGCAAAGTAGAATCTTGCCTCCTGCATATATAACTATGCACTCCTTTAAGAAAAACAAAAGCTACGTTGACACAGCTGTTCTGGAAGGATCTAGTCTGTCAAGCCAAGGGCAGCAACACCAAAACTGACAGCCAGAAGATTGGGAGAGAGATCTCTCCTGCATGGGACAAGCAGACACGTTTCTGTCTGGATGCTGGCTCAGCGCCCGAGTGGAATGCAGGGAATCGTTTTCCTTCTGGCTGCTGCCACCGTCTCTGACGGACACATGGATGCTCCCTCAGGGGCTGGGGCTGAGGGCTTGGCTGGAACTAACCTTATTGCTTCTTGTGCACAGGACCTCGATGAGCACCGCCTCATCTGTGCCCAGACCTTTCATGGCCTTTTGCAGTTGCCGGGCATCGTACTCGCTGGGGCGGTCCAGAAGGGCCAAGGCTGTCTTCTCGAAGTTGCCACTCAGTTCACTCTCGAACACCTCCTCCAGGTCCTGTAGGAAGACAGCAAGAGCCCTGACTGGGGAGTGGCCCAAAGCAGAGGGACAGGTGTTGCTCTCCCCTCTGCATGGCCTCAGGGTCAATAGGAAAACTTCCATGGACACTTAGGGAGGGGAGTGAGGGGACAGAGCTCTATTGGCTTGAGTGACCTGCTCTGGAGGACACTGGTGGCAGTCACCTTCCTAGCCAGAGACTTCCTATCCGTTTTGTCCCGGGACTGGCAGAGAGGCAGAGAAGATCCCTTGCTTAAGGCTAACATTTGCTGGACATTTTAGGGTTCAGAAAGACTTCTCCCTGATCTTCAGAACAGCCCCAGCAGGAGAAGGATTGGCATTATTCCCATTTACTGACCTTAAAAAAAATGAAGGACTTGCCCCCAAACACTTGTTCGACTAGAAAGGACTGAACTCTGGGTTTGTTATCTCTAAGGGGGGGTCAGATCCTTTGTCACCCAAATGGGAATGGGTTTGAGAGTGAAGGGGCAACAATAAAGTAGCCATCCTTGCAGGCGCACAGCAGGAATAACGGGGACCGTCCTGAGCTCACTACATGTCGTCGCTTTGGTTAGCTTGTTAAACCTGAACAGGAGACACGTGCGGAAGCACTCAGGTAGGGAGAAGAAACGAAGTATGTGAAATGCCCACTGGTATCTGTTTTCAGCAAGTGTCCATCATCATGGGTATTTTCTGGCAAGTGCCTCTTATTATAGGTAAACTGCCTGCTCCTACCAGTGTCTCTCTGACGTGATGGGTTAATGATGAAAGGGACAAGACTTGGTATTCAGTCTAACTAGAGTCGCCGGTGCCCCCAACGTCAGTGAAGGACCTCAAAGCAGGACCTCCCTATCCAGATGGAGCCCTGTGGGTCAGACCAGCGGGGTGGGGGAACCCCTGGAGCAGCTAGCATCTTAGGAACCCAAATCACAGCACAGAGTGGGTCTGGCCACTTGGCAACGCGGCATGATGGCTAACGACATGGTCACAGCAGCCGCGTGACTTTGGAAATGTATTTTCGCCAACTGTCCGTTTCCTGCTCTGGAACATGGGGGGATAATAAGACTCCCTCCTTAGGGTTTTTGGGAGAAATAGCAGAGACAATCTGTATAAAACCCAAGCACAGTGCCTGGCACACTTTAAATGTTCAGTGAGTGAGTGTTATTATTATTCCGTGCTGCAAGGAACTTTCGAAGAATGGACTCATCAGCTCTTTCTCACATGAACCTCTGAGCTCTGCGCCTGGGAGAAAAACCTCGAAAACTTTGTCTTATGGGATCTGCAGTCTCATGAGGGGGCATTACAGTGGTATTACTGTATTACTGGTATTACTGTCTCTGTCTTAAGGCTCCGTCTAATGCTGCATCCCGGGAAGGCAGGCCTGTGGTCAGTGCCCCACAGTGTGGACCCACCCGAAGACTGGACATGACTTTCAGGCCAGACGGCCATTGTATAGAACTGGAGGGGAGAGAAATCCCAGCTGCCTACTCTTCCAAGCCACAAGCACGAAAACAAATTCCTGTGTGTTTACATTCTGTTTGGACACAGAAGCTGGCTCGGGATATCTTTGCTCTAATCCTGGTTTTCCTGCTCACTAGCTGTGTCACCTTAGGGTGCGTGTTCTCTTTGGAACTCCGTTGACGGGGGGACCTAGATTGGTCCCTTGCCAGGGTCTTTGAGCTTCAGATGTTGTGATTCCAGACCACCTCCTTGGCAGTCCCAGCTGTCTGAAGCAGCCGTGAACTGGTGCATAAGTAAATGATGGGCACGTGTTGGTGTTGCAAAGTTTGAAGCTGGAAACGCCCAACTGACCTTTAGCAAAGCCCCTAAGTCCTCACCTCGAGCTTATTTACTCTGCTTTACCCTCAGGCTTAAGAAGCCTGAACTGACTTTCCATGAGGGCAGGGTGGGAGGTAGACGGGGCACACGAGAGGCTGCTATGGTTAGGCACGCCGACGAGGATGAAAGTTCAATGTCATTCAACTCCGTTCCATGCAGCTGAACTTACTTTGGTAAGTAATTACCAAAGTAAGTAAGTAAGTAATTCACTTACTTTGGTCAATGTTTTCAAGGAATGACATTGACAAGCCCGACCGAGAGGAGAGTTGCGGAGAAACTGTAAAAGCACAGCCATCTGGGCCACATAGTGCGGAAAGAAACAGCTCCTCTCATGGCAATGGGTTCTTTAGGAGTGGACGCTGGCCCCGGACTCAAAAGAGTGGGATTGGACTGTCGGCTATTTTCCTTACTAAACATGTGATTTTGTATGAGTCATGTATGCAGAGGAGCTGCAAGTTTCCTCTCTGTAAAATGGAAACAGTCAAACCTAGAATAGCTTCCTTTTACTGACAGGTGCTGTTATTAGGCTGGCTGATTCTCTCAGCAACCTGGGAAGAAAGGTAAATTACCATTTTCATTCTGTGTGTGAGGACACCAGGGTCTAAAGAGATTGTTGCCTGCCCAGTGTCAAGTAAGTAAGAAAACCCATTTCTCTACCTATTTATACATAGAGGGATTGAAACTGTAAAGGTTTTATAAATATGGATTCAAATATAGCATAATGATCAATATTCATTTTGTATGCTAATAATTCTAATGACATTAGGAAAAGGTTAAATTGTGTCCATCCCACATTAATAAAGAAAACAGAAATCCTAATGCATACTTAAAGATTTCTATATGTAACACATCAGCAACAACAAAAAGAAGGAAGAAAAGAAACATGAAAAAAGAAAACACGTGTTCATGTTTAATGAAATGGAGGTTTGTGTTTTGTTTGCTTTTTTTTTTTCTAGTTTTCTGTCATAATCACTTATGAAGAATGAATCATTCTTGAAGATCAGTGAATAGATGAAGAATTCTTGTATGAAGACCCACCTGTGAAAACCAGGTCCCAAGTCCCTGGCCTATCTGTATGGTAATAAGTAGAAATGGTCCAAATGAGTGGGAAAATGACAGAGGGATTATAGAATAAGGAAGTCGATTTTCAGAAAGGGTTTAGGAATACTGATTCTGTAGGCTATTAAGTTAACAACACAATTTCAGTTTTTCTGTAATCAGTTAAAATTGTAAAGAGTAGTTTCACCTTGTTTTCTCTTGAGCTAACTCGGTAAAGCTTTAAAGATATTCTCTGCTGCCTTGGGAGTGTAGAGCAAGCAGAGACCGTCTAGGCCAAGGCTGTGTGTGCCTGCTTGCAAGGACCCTTGGAATCACCTTGCCATACGTTGCCTTGTACTTCTGCTTGATTTGTTGCCTCTCATCAGATGTCCTGCTTGATAATATCTCAATGATGGCTGGTTCATTGGTTCCTAAAGTGCAGGAGAAAGACACAAGGCCAAGAGTGAGTAAGAAAGAAGATGGAGGGGCGCCTGGGTGGCTCAGTGGGTTAAAGCCTTTGCCTTCAGCTCAGGTCATGATCCCAGGGTCCTGGGATCAAGCCCCGCATTGGGCTCTCCGCTCAATGGGGAGCCTGCTTCCCCCTCTCTCTGCCTGCCTCTCTGCCTACTTGTGATCTCTGTCAAATGAATAGATAAAATCTTTAAAAAAAAAAAAAAAGAAAAGAAAGAAGATGGAGGTTGATTTTGGTTAATTCTCAGGAAGCTAGGACCGTGGTCAGAGGTTCTGGGGGGAACTTAGATGGACCCTTCAGCATTAAAATCTTGTGGAGAAGTGTATTCTTTTCACTCACTAGAGAAATATCCATGGAGGCCTCACATTGTGTGAAGCACGGTGCTGGGCATTTTAGGAGAAAGAGGAACGGGTATGGCCTTAATTTCACTCCTAGGTATATACTCAAGAAAAATGAGAACAAACGTCCACACAAAACTTGCACAGGAATGTTCACTGCTGCATCATTCATAATGGCTAAAAGGTGGAAACATCCTGAATGCCCATCAGTAGACAAATGGATGAACAAATGTGGTATGTCTAAACAACAGAGCATTATTTGGCCAGAAAAAGGAATAAAGTAGTGATATATGCTACAATTCGAATGAACCTTGAAACATCCTGCTAAGTGAAAGAAGGCAGTCACGGAAGACCACACATTATGTTATTCCATCCCTACGAAAGTGTGGAATAGGGAAATCTATAGAGGCAGAAAGTGGTGTGTGGGGATGGGATGGGTAGGGGGTAATGAAAGAGTAGGAGGTTTCTTTTTCAGGTGATGAAAATGTTCGAAATTGACTGTGGGGATGCTTTCACATATCTGTAAATATATTAAAAACCACTGAATTGTACACTTTGAATGGGTGAATTGCACGGTATGTGAATTTATACCTCAGTAAAACTGAATAATCTCAAAAAAAAAAAAGGTGTGGTCTGTTCCTTGGTCTCCATGTACTTCAAACTGAATGGAAAAGATTAAAATATAGGCCCTTGGGACACCTGGGTGGCTCAGTGGGTTAAGCCTCTGCCTTCGGCTCAGGTCATGATCCCAGGGTCCTGGGATCGAGCCCCGCATTGGGCTCTCTGTTCAGCAGGAGGCCTGCTTCCTCCTCTCTCTCTGTGATCTCTGTCAAATAAATAAATTTAAAAAAATAAAATAAAATATAGGCCCCGATTGCTACAAGATCAAGTCCACCTATAACCCTGTCCATCTCAAGAAAGAAGTCCTAATGAAGGTTTTTCCCGCTCTGGGGGTTTTGCGCGGCATCATGGGTAGTTGCCTCTTTAAACTTCTGACTATTACATCTTTAAATTACACTTTTTCTAAAAAGTTTTTTTTTCCTGATGCTCAAAGCAGTGCATACTCATTGTGGGCAACTTAATCAGTACCAAAACCTATAATGAATAAGAAAGAGGAGGAGAATATTCTTTTTAGAATATCCATAGAGACAGGGTTGGAAAAATGCTCCAGGTACTGAAGGTATGGGAATGAGAAAATGGCAAACCCTGAATTACATTCTTCAGCCCGGATTCATATAAGGCCTCTTCCTTTACTGACTGTACGATATATATATGTATATACATATACATACACATATATACATACATGCATACACATTGACACACCATTGACGTTGAATAATACAGGGGTTGGAGTACCAATTCCCCTTGCAGTAGAAAATTCATGTATAACTTGTGAGTCTCCAAAAACATAAGGATTTAAGTAATAGTCTACTGTTGACCAGAAGGCCTACTGATAACATAAACAGCCCATTGACATATTTTTGTATGTTTTGCGTATCATATATTATATTCTTACAATAAACTAGAGAAAAGTAAATGTTACTGAGAAAATCATAGAGAAAACACATTTATAATACTATCAAAAATCTGCATATAAGTGGACCCATTCAGTTCCAACCTGTTGCTCAAGGGTCAACCATATATGAAGATCTCACTAAGACATTAAACACATGATTTTGCTGACATTTTGCAAAGGACAGGGGCTGAATGAGTTGATTAAAAGAAAAAATGCTATGTTTCTATTACTCAGATTGATCAAAATCATGGAAGGTGGTAGCTGAATGATCGAAGTTTGAAAGCCTGTTACAGAATGTCGACTCTGGCCACAAAGAGTCGGTGAGAGGGCCACATGAGGACGGAGGAGAGGAGAGATGTGTCTCTAAACCCAGAAACAGCTGAGGCCACCAGAAGCAGAGCAGAAGCCTGGGGCAGGTCCTTCCTAGTGCCTTCAGTGGGGAGGACGGCCTGCCATCTCCTTGACCTCAAGGCTCTGGCTTCCAGGACTGGGAGACAGTAGGTCTCTGCTATTTGAAGCCATGTGGTTACTGGTTCTCGTTATAGCAGCTCTAGGAAACTCATACACCTGCTACCCTCAGCAGCATCTTGAGATTTCAAGAAAGCAGCCCCAAACCCTCTCTTCACAACCAGCGTCTGGAGAGTCCTACATTGGCCTGTTCCCACTCCTACTCCTGATGACCGCTCCCTATGACCTGCATGGGTTTGGTCACTTTTGAAGGGACCTGAATTAGTTGAACTTGTGTGATCACTCCTACCCAGCTGAGCGATCAGAATCCACAAGGAACAAGAGGTGGTAGATGCCTTTGATGCCTTTTGGTGAAAGGAGTAGGGGGAAGACAAATCTGGGCCATGAGTGTGGGGAAGGTGCAGAAGTGGGGGCATCACTGTAGAGAGGGGCAAGGGACTAAAAAGACTCTCTTTCTGTCTTTGCTGGCAGGGGCTTAGGAGTTTTACCCGTGTCTCGCCTCGGGCACCGTCCCCCTCAGCAGCACTTGGGGAGACGGGGATAGGAGAGCCACGGGCCGGTCCTGGCAAGCCACTAGCTTTGTGTCCTCAGACTGTTCATGTAGTCTCAGGGATTAGTTCCACCTGCACAACTCTGGGAAGACCTAGCTGTTTGATTCCAGCTGGAGAAACAGAAAATTCTAGGATGAGCTCACCTATGAGAGAGTGGTGATTAATCACCACCTAGTTCTGGGTCAGTTCGAGTGCTGTTACTGATGTTGTTCCTCTGAATTTTTTCCTGCAGCTCCACCTTGGTGACGGGTATCCAATTACTTGCTCTGTAACTTTTCTTTTTTAAACTTCTGAGTGCCAGAAATCCACTTTAGAAGGGATTTCTTTTTCTCACAAAGCTCTCCTGAATCAGCCCCTTTATTTCTATGAGGACGGCTCCTGCCTGGGTCGAGGATCTGTGCATCTCAGACTTGGCTCCCTGCCGGTGTCACCCCTGGAAGGAATCATCCTACTTTCACCTGGGAAGGTGGCCTTTCCTACTTCCCAGGTGGCCCATCACCAGCCTGTGCCAGCCAGGAATCTGGGGCTTCTCCCTGGCTCCCTCTTTCCCCTCACCCCATATCCAACTAGTTACCATTAAGATCTCACGATTCCACATCCTTGGTATCTCTCAGACCCACTCATTTCTCTTCAGCTTCACCTCTGTTGCATTGCTCAGCACAATCACGGATACCCAAAGGGGGTTCCTGCGTTACACACACCTTTTCCAACCAGCATTCACTAGCCCCAGAACATGCTTCCTTATGAGCAGCTCGCCTGCTCATTCTTCTGTATCAAAGTTATAATATCAGGCCCTTCAAATCCAGAATAGAGTCTCAACGCTTCCGTAGGGCATATGAGGCCTTTTGGAGTCGCTTCTACTTGCCTTTCAAAGTCACGTGCCTCCCGTCCATCCTCTCCCAGCTTCTCCATAAACCATGGGCAACTGTGAGAACAAGCAACACTTCCTTTCTCACCTCTGGGTCTTCACATGGGATCTTCCCTCTACCTGGGACATGTCTTTGACCCTCACCTTTGCTCCCACTCCTCCTTTAGGATTCAACTCAATGCACTTACTCAGAACAGATGAAGCATTCTGCCTTCTGTGTCCCTCACGTGGCCATGGGACAGGGTGGTTCGCTCACTGCTGTACCCACATAGAAACCTCTCAGTATTCATCAGACAAGTTGTTGAATGAGTGGATATTTAAATGCATGCAATGAATGAATGAATGAATGAGTGAGTGAATAAATACTTTTGGATAGCGTTCTGAAGGACCTTGTCTCTGCATTGGTGTAAGCGGCATGGGCCACTTGGGTGGGCTCTTTGGAGGAAAGAAACTGGAAATCTTCTACTCTGATGCCAGAGTCAACCCATATCTGGATAATTCAAGAAAGTCAAATTTTTTAAAATAATGTTTTTTAGATTTTCCTTCCTGGAATGCTGTAGAAAGTGAGACCAGGGACCAAAGCCGTTCTGGGATGGCTCAGCAGGAGCCTGGAGCTTGGGGGAAAACCTGGAAATTACCAGATTTCCCTCAAGCCCTTTGAATCTGGGTCTCAGGTTTATCCTGGGAGCCTTTCCCACTACCCGACCAAGGAGTGATTTACTGAACAATGACCTCATTTTACATTTCATAATATGTGTGTCATATAAGCAGTCTGTGCTGCTGAACAATTTCCTGTAAACATTTACAATGGTTTGAGGCACTGGGGCCAGGCTCCAGTGGTTCTGGGAAAGACTTCTTAAAAACAAGAAGGAACCTCAGCCCTGCCTGTGCATCAGACACTGAAGGGTAATTAAACAGTAGAGGTCAGGCCCAGGGTGATCGGCCTCCTCGATTTTGCTCTCCCAGCAATTTTCTGGGAGGAAACTGAGCTGAGTTCCAGCAGGAGGGAGGCCGTTGAGTTTGAAGTGCCCTCTGCTTCACACCCGGGTCCCGTGTGCCACATGAGGGATCTGGGAGGCATGCTGTGGGCGGGGGCTCGGCTTCCCAGTCCCTTGGTGTCTCTTTTGCAAATGGGGGTGTAGGGAAGGTAGAGGAAGCCATGAGTGGGAGAACCTTGTCTGCCAGGAAGGTCACTGCTTTTCACTTGCCCACTGTATTCATTTCCTGAGGCTCCCATAACAATTACCACAAACTCTGTGGCTTAAAACAGCAATGTATTAATACCCTCATGACTCAGAGGCCAGAAGTCTAAAATCATGATGTCAGCACGGCCACACGACCACCAGAGGCTCTGGGGTTAAATCTGTTCCTCGCCTCTTCCAAATTCCAGAGGCTGATGGCAACCCTTAGCTCAGCTTCTGGAATATTACTCCATGCTCTGCTTTGGATCCACATGGCCTCTCCCTGAGTGTCTGCTTCTCTTCTGCCTCTTTCTCTCATTCTTCTTTTTTAAAAAATTTATTTATTTATTTAAGTAATCTCTACATCCAACATGGGACTCGAACTCACAATGCCCACCATCAAAATTGCATGCTCCACTGACTGAGCCAGTCTTTCCCTTTTAAAGACACTTGTCAATGGATTCAGGGCCCACCCACGTAATCCAGAAGGGCCTTCTCAAGGTCCTTAACTTAATTACATCTGCAAAGACCCTTTTCCCAATTAAGGTCACATTCACGGGTTCTGGGTGCACATATCTTTGGGGGGAGCACCATTCCACTGAGTCCACCCACAGTGATGCAGAACAAAGGCCGCTCAAGGGCGGGCCTCCTCGCTGCTCATACTGATCTGCTGGGCTTTATGGGGATTTTGGGTCTGAATTTATTGTTTGAAAGGAGCAGGCTAGCATGTAATGAGGCCCAAAGACGTGCTGAGCACAGTGCTGCCTCCTTATCCTCAGCCCCTCTCTGTAATGAGGCATGATTAGCCCCATTTTGCAGTTGAGAAAACTAAGGTCATGGCATCAGTAGGCACCTGGGCAAGGCCTCAAACCCAGGTCTGAGGTTCATTCCCATGCCTGGTGAGAGAAAGAGAGTTGGGCTTGGGATCACAAGATCTGAGTTCTAGACCCAGCTTCCCTCTAGTGTGGCTTGAGAAGTGTTAACTGGATTATGGATGGACTTTGCTCCCCAAAGTGCAGTCCTAGGACTCGTAGGACAAGCAACACCTGGGAACTTACTAGAAATGCAGGATCTCAGAAACTGCTTAGAACTACCAGTTTGAACCTGCATGTGAACACCCAGTGAGAAGTCGTGAACTAGAACTAGGGTAAACTCCATGGCAGCTTTTCCTTCTGGAGCCTCTTTCTGTGTTTCTTTGAGGGAGAATGACAAGCATCCTGTTACATTTCAGAAAGGATAATGGGTGCGGGGTCCACACTCTCTCAGGTTTAAGACATTCTCCTCAGAAGGGCCAGCAGAGGGACACGGAGTTCTAAGAGGAAGGCCCGACAAAGAGTGTCAGTGTAGGGAGGAGGATAAAAGGTTGCTCTGGGTTAACCAAGACCCAGACCACACACATAGTCAGGACCTAGGAAAGGAAGGGCACCAAAGAAACAAGGAAATTTCTAAGTTTTATGTGATTTGGAAAAATCAAATATTATTTTAGGATACAGCATTCTTATTTTGAATCCTGTAGGATTAGTGGGTGGGGAGTGCACAAAATCTTTTTGATTGAGTAGGGCCCCTAGATCCACTCTGCCTGTGGCTATGGGGAAATGAAGTATGGCTGGATCAAGTTGAAATGTTTTGTAAGTGTAGAATCCACACTATCTTTTGAAGACTTAATGCGAAAAAAAAAAAAGGTTGTCAAATATTAATAATTTTTAGATTGTTGAGATTATATTTTTGATACAGAATTGACTTAGCTAGTGTATATTATTAAAATTAATTTCATCTGCTTTTTAAAATTTGGCTTCTCAAAAATTTAAAATGATTTATATCATTCACCTTTGTGGCTATGGGACAGTATGACCCTAGACATGTGAAGCCAGCCCTGGCAGGTCTTAGATATCAATGAGATGGTTGCATGGTCCTGCAGACAAATCTTTCCAGTGATGCAGTTTTGCTTTGGCTTGGCACTTTTGGGGGTGGGGGGGATGGGTGAGCCTGGTAGTGGGTATTAAGGAGGCACGTATTGCATGGAGCACTGGGTGTGATGCATAATTAATGAATCTTAGAACACTGAAAAAATAAAATTAAATAAAAAAAAGATTTATTTGTTTGAGACAGAGAGAGAGAGGGAAAGGGCAGAGGAAGAGAGAGAATCTCAAGCAGACTCCCCGCTGAGCACAGAGCCTAACATGGTGCTTGAGCTCGTGACCTGAGCCAAAACCAAGAGTCAGATGCTCAACTAACGGAGCCACCCAGGTGCCCCTGGCTTATACTTTTTAATAGAGGTTGGAATTCTAGAATTCTAGACCTTCAACCAAATCATAGCTTTCCAAGATGGCCCTAGTTTCCAATCACCCTATCCTCATTTCCCAACTCTGTGACCGTGGGCAAGATATTTAACCTTTGAGTCTCAGCATTCTCATCTGTTGGACCATTAGAAGACAGCTTTACAGATTTGTTGAGAAGGTTACACAAGACGACCTGTGTGCAGTGCCCAGCTTAACACTTGGCACGTGGAAGGCGCTCTACAACAGTAATCAGCACAACAGTAGTCCCACCTTGAAGCCATATCCAAAAAGGAGAAGAAAACACTGGTTTTGGCATTCAGCAGGTGCTCCATCCGTGCTTTTTGAACTTAACTCACTATGTGGCGAAGAATGTGGAGACGTATCATTGAGTGCAGCTGAATTATGTCCACACCCACTTCACTCCTGTCTCCAACCCACATCCAGGTGTCAGGACCTCACTTGAGAAGCAGCAGGGAAGCACCTGTGGGTCTAGCTCAGCCACTCAGCAAGACTCAGAACTATAAACATCCTGCCATTTCCAGGCAAACATGGCTCCTGGCAGCTGTTGTCCAAATACAACATAAGCCAGGTCAGGACATGAGCAAGAAGCAGATCCTCTCTGCTGAGCTTTCTTCTTCTTCTTCTTCTTTTATTATTTTATTTTATTTTATTCATTTTGACAGACAGAGATCACAAGTAGGCAGAGAGGCAGAGAGAGGAAGGGAAGCAGGCTCCCTGCTGAGCAGAGAACCCGACTTGGGGCTCCATCCCAGGACCCTGAGATCATGACCTGAGCCGAAGGCAGAGGCTTTAACCCACTGAGCCACCCAGGTGCCCCTGCTGAGATTTCTTCTGGTGCCCTCCCCTCCCAAACCAAGCAAGCTAGTTGTCATCCTTCATTTCTAGCTCCCTCTCCCTCTGATTTACTCAAGAACCCTCACTATGTAGAAATCCCTTTTCCACTTTCGTACTAGACCTTCTCCAACCCCTACCCCCTTGGAACTTCTCCAGCATTTCTTGGGCAAGACGGATTATTTTATATTCATGTAGTTCCTTATATTGAAGCAAAATATCTCTTTTTAGAACTTCTGCTATGGATCCCGGTTCTTTCTCTGGAGTCACACAAAGAATTTATGGCCATATTTGTTCTACCACAATACTCATTCTTAGGGAAGTAAATCTTCACTGATTTACTTCTAAGTAAAAAATCTAGCACTTGTTTTTGCAAAACAATATGCCAAGTGAAAGAAGCCAGATGCAAAAGGTCACACGTTGCATGATTCCATTTATATGAAATGTCCAGAATGGGCAAATCTATAGAGACAGAAAGAGGACTATGATTGCCTGGGACTGAAGGGAGGAGGGGTTGGGGAGTCACTGCTAATAGAAATGGCCTTTTTGGGGGGCCACTGGAAAAGTTCTGGAATTAAAAATGATGTTTACCGATCCTGTGAATATACTACAACCCAGGTTTCTGGGATTAGAAATGTACTTCCTCCTTGGGTTTCAAAGCCTCTCCTCATGGCCATATTTCAAGATGCTCTCCCCTTCATCTCACCTTGTTACTGGGGTTACCTTCTTCCTGATCTCTTTCTTTGTCTCTTATTCTTAGTCATGCACTTACCTTAGGCATCAATGTAAACGGCTTCTCTGGTCTTGACCTTGGCCACAGTTTTATGTTTACTTGGTCTACTTCTAGATGCAGTTCCCAGATCCCTAATCCATATTTCATCAGTCCCTATTTCCTACCACCTTTCATGAAAGAGATCAGAGGGGCTTGGATGACATTAAGATTGCATGCTTACACTTCCCATGAAGTTTCTTCCACCTCAAGGTCAAATTCAATGTCATAGTATCCAATTTTTAACTATCATGTTGAATCTTGAAAAGCATTAGGATCTGGTTATAGTTTGGAGATCTTTTACAAAGAAAACGCTAGAAGTAATTAACTTGGGTTGCTTGGAATGCACAAGGTCATCTTTCTAAGATCATGGGAAAGTTAGACATGAGATCAAATTTAATCAACTTCTAAAATAAGTTAAAAAGCAAAATATATTTCATACCCATTCCTTTACAGGCTTTGTTCAGCTTTTTGGCATCCCGATCCACATCAAAACCCTGATGACTCCTTGCTTTGGCCTGGAGAAAATAATTGAAAAGGTTAGTGGACAATGTAGGCATTCTTGAATTATCTCTGAATGACACTGGTAGCTATTTGAAAGATGAAGAAGTCATCCAAATGAGGGACCAGCTGCCACTTTACACATGGTGCATGTGGAAATCAGCTGGGGAAACTCTGGCCTCAGAGAGATGACTGGTACTCCTTGGAGCCAGCTGGCCTTGGATGACCACTGAGAATGGGTCCCTCTGTTTGTAAGGACAATCAGCCCGAGATGAGATGTTTTGACATCAATCCTACCTTTGTGTGACTGCCTCTGAGACAGAGAATAATACAGTGGGTCAATGTCCTGGAATGCTAGTTCTCCTCTTTTGCCATGAGACACAAATAAGTCTAGGGAATAGTGTTGCCAGGCAGAAGCCAGGGTTCTAGATCTTATCACAGAAGCATCTGGTGACCCAGACTAAAGCTTTGCTATCCACCCAATGAGAGACCCAGTATTTAGTTTGCAAGACATACCTATGGGCCGGCAATAGCAGAGTTACTGGTTTTTACTGTTCTTTGGGGAGAGAATGTTCTGTTTATACACTAAGCTAGTGTTTCTCAGACTTTGGTCATTGGTATAATACATGCATAAATTTGTCCACAGCTATCAAAGTCTACATTATTATTATTTGGTTATTATTTTTCTTTCAGCTGACCTACTTGGTTTTTACTGAAAGTTATTTTAAAAAGGAAATCTATTAGCACTAAAATGGAAAAACAGTATTGGTTGCCCAAATGAAAGAGCAACATAAAAATAAATGTGTCACATTATCATATGATCTCCCTGATATGAAGAAGTTGAGAGGCAACGTGAGGGGTTTGGGGGTTAGGAAAGGAAGAAAATGAAACAAGATGGGATTGGGAGGGAGGCAAACCATAAGAAACTCTTAATCTCACAAAACAAACTGAGGGTTGCTGGTGGGGAGGCAGGTAGGGAGAGGGTGGTTGGGTTATGGACATTGGGGAGGGTATGGGCTATGGGGAGTGCTGTGAAGTGTGTAAGCCTGATGATTCACAGACCTGTACCCCTGGGGCTAACAATACATTATATGTTAATAAAAAATTAAAAAAAATAAATGTGTCACTATTAAAAATGTAAAGGTGTGAGGTTAATTGCAGTGACACAACTTGCAGCTTTGAACAGACCCTATGTTTTCTTAGTTCTTGGCCTTCCCTCACAGAGATTCTCTTTGATGACGTATGTCCCTTTCCTCCCATCCTTTGATGAAGGCTGGGGTAAGTGCCACTGTCTGCACTGCCCACTTGATCCTGCCTTTCATTTCCTTTGGCACCTCTGGGGAAGGAATAGGAAACCACGTAAGGCCCAGTAGACATATTGTGTTTGTCTGGCACTGCTGTTCCTTTGGGGGGCTTTCCTGTCCCCCATTTTATGTGTTTTCATTGGGGCCATCAGTCAAGAGGGTTAAAACCTCTTGTCCTGCCCTTGGGTGGACACAGACCCTGTCTGGCAGTTGTGACTGGCTCAGGAGTGGGAGTATAACCCAAGCCAGATCAGAGTCTTGTCTTCAGTTGATATGGAGATGTTGAGAGAGAGAGAGAGAGAGAGCGCTCTTCTGACTGGGCTTGTCCAGCTGAGAGAATGAATCTAGAGCAAAGCAAGGCAGAGACAAAAAGCAGAAATAAGGAGAGAGAGAGAGGGAGAGAGAGAGAGAGATTGAATAACACTGTATAAATTCTCAAACAGCAATGCCTGTTTCCTAACACGTCCCAGTTTTGTTAGTGAACTACCACTTTCTCAAAGTTAATGAGTTGGATTTCTGCCCTTGCACCAAGTGTTCTGACTCATATCCGAGGACTAGAGGAGGGCTGGCTTTGAGGCCTTGGTTAATTGAGAATCCTGTAATCCTAGAGCCAAAGGGGTCTTTTAGGACCACTGATCCCCTCTCAGCTGGATGGAATCACTCCATGGTCAGGCCCATCCTGAAGTCTCGATTTCTGAAGCATGTGGACAAGGGGAATTGCATTTGTTGAACGCCTGCCACATGCCCAACAACTTCTTCACTCACAGACCTTTCTTCATTCACCATCGTTTCTCACACTCCAAGTATGACCAGGACCATCTTGTTCAACTGAAGGACAACGTCTCCCATTTCTCTTTCCAAATTGCTTGTGTGGTGTGAGAAAGCTATCTGGTACTGAGGAAGGCTTGTTGGCAGGGTGAGCGACATCATTTGCAGGGTTCAGTGCAAAATGAAAATGAATGGCCTGGGTTTGAAACGGATTTAGAACTTTAAGGTGGTGGTATCAGAGCATTAGAGAGAGTGCGAGGCCTCTCTGGGTGTGGGGCCTGTGTGACTGCCCTGGCTACACACCAGAGAGGCTGTCCTGCCTATCGATGGAATTCTCTGAGTGTGGGAGTGTGGGGTTGGCAATCTCAGACTCAGAAGAGCAAATGGTGTCTTGGCTGTTCGTTAGGAGTATTTTCTGGAGGGTTCTGGTAGTCAGAATTGGACCAGAACAGCAGACACCTCTTTGTAACAGGCTGATTTATAAACTGTTCTTTCAGCCTCTTCGGTGCTGAGAAGGTAGGACTTCACAGAAATCGAGACAGACACCCAGGGCTCCGCGAACGGCTAAGCCGGTGATGCCCCGGCTGAGGCAGAGGGGATGGAGTTCAGCTGGGGTTATGTTTGCTCAGTCCCAGGCTGGCAGGGCTGCTGCTCCCCCAGAGAGACACATTCTTTCCTCCTTTGCACAAAGATGAGGCCAGGACTTGCAGAAGCCATGTGGAGACTTGCTCAAGATCACTGGGCCAGGTGATGGCTGACTTGGAGCCAGAGCCAGACTGGCTCTGTCAAGTCGAAAAGGACAATCCCATCCTTTCCTCCCCTGTTTCGGGAAGGTGGTTCAATGATACACGTCACAGAGTTATAGGAGCAGAAAGAAGGGGAATCTGTGCCTCAGAGCTTGACCCAGTCCTAGTCAATACCAAGTGTTGTTTGAAATTAAAAAAAAATTAATGTGAATTTCTATTAAAAGAGAAAGAAAGAAAGAAAGAAAGAAGGGAAAAAACCTTCTGAAAGTCTAGTTCATCCAAGGCTAAAAAACAAAGACATGTCTTTTAGTCCAAAATAACTGTGCTGTGGGGAAAGGGGGGCAGTGGGAGAATGTTGAACCTCATTTTAGGAATAAAGATAACATTGAGACAACTTTTTCCTTTTTTGCTTGATTGAAAGTGCAGTGTTTAGTCTTTCTAGGAGACCTCCGTTGGACTTCTAACCTATAGAAGTGTAAGATAATAAATGTATGTTGTCTTCAAAAAATGCAGCGTAAAAGTCTCTATCAGATGCACAACCATGGGCAGGGCAGGTGGAAATTAATCTTTCCCGGGTTCCTTCTAAGAACCACTCTTTGCCATGTTGCTTATCTTTCCTAATCCAAGGAGAATTCGGTCTTGTTCCTCATAACAGCGAGCTATTTGGTGCCATGATTCCAGAGTCAGAATCATGTGAGGGACTTATTTAAAAGGGGGAGGGAGGCAAGAAAACAGTGTGTTAGGAATTTCCCCCTCTGCGTGGCTGGGACAGCCTCCACAATGGACACATTCATCAGTGCCACCCAGTATTGATGCAAGGGGTGTCCTTGTCCAGTTCTGATGAGCTGGGGAACCACCTTCCCTGGAATGTATAGGGAGCGGACATTCCACCTCCATTGTTCATTGTTAGCAAGCCAGGCAGCTGCCTTTGGGGCCTTTTGAAACCTGAGGCCACTGAGCAGAACTTCCACGGGAAGCAGGTGTGCAGGAATGCACATCAGACACAAAAGGGGGGGTGCAGGGGACTCCGGCCTGAGGACAACCCCACCGTGAGGATCTAGGCAAATACACAATATTCCACCTGCTTTCTAGGCAACACAGAGGCAGAACAGCAGTCCTTTTTTTTTTTTTTTTTTTTTTCAATTTCTTCCCAGCATTTGCACTGACACTCATGAGACGCATTAAAAAGACACAATGTTAGATGCTAAGAAAAATGATTACAGAAGTCTGGGCTGTGAGCCCACGTGAATTCAAGTTTGAATGTGGTTCTGCCCCTTAGCAGCCATGTGAACTTGGGCCATTAACCTCTAAGCCCTCATTTTCTCACCTGTAAAATGGGGTCAATGTCTCCCTTGTTAAGATTTGAGGCTTACGCAAGATAACATTTCCAAGGCTACATAGATAGGGACCCACAGAACTGCTACGGTTTTCTCTGCTTCTTCGGGTCAACTCTTGGTTTTTGGGCTCAGACTGATATTAGGATTTCAGTTCTGGATATTTTCATTAGACAAGTTTGGAAGATGATCTATCTATCTATCATCTATCTATGTGGGAGGTATCTTCCAAACTTGATATTGTGAGATATAGATATATCTCTAATGCCCCAGACTGGATTTGAATCCCAGCGTAGCTGCTCATTACTAACGTGCCCTTGGGCAAGTTCAAGAACTTCTCTGTGCTGTGGTTCCCTCATGGCAAAATGTGGATAATAATAGTGTCTAGTCATAGGTATCTTATGAAAATTTAGATGAAGTCCTTTATACAAAACATCTAAAATAAAGCCTAGCAGAGACTGTGTGCTTAAAAAATGTAAACGGAAAAAAAAAATGTAAACAGTATCTACTGAAGGCAGATCAGCAACGAACCTTCCAGAATATTTTAAACCCTCTCCTGCTTGCAGGGTTTTCACTTTGTAAATGGTGTGCTAAGGGTCAGTTTTTCACCGATCGCCCGCAGTTTGGATCTGGAGTTCCAGACACATTTTTTCCACACCAGGCAGTAAAGTGGCTCACAATTCAGGCTGTGTGCAGACCAGGTGACCCAGGATGACATCCCAACACCACATTTTATTAACTGCCTCATTTGACTAGCATGATAATTAGCACCTCATGGAGTGTGAGGAGCTCCCTGAGATACAACCCTGGTGAGGTGCTTGCCATTGCAGTCAGGCCAGTGCAGTGAGGCTCACAATGGAAGCAG